TGTGCCTCCGCAAGCACCCTTCCTTGCTCCTGGGCCACATCTTCCTCCCTTCCATGCAGGAAGCTCCCCACACGCACACTCAACGCTCCCACGGCCTCGCCTACAGCCCCCCTACCAGCCTGAGAACTCCTGGAAAGCAGACGCTGCTGCTTCTCGACCCCGGGACCCCGCACAGGGCCCAGGAGCTCAGTCAGAACCCGCAGCCCTGGCCGAGGATGGGGCCCACTCACTGTCATGAAAGGCTGTGTTCACGGCAGCAGAAAGTGGACACACCCCAATGGCCATCACTGGTGAAAGGAGAAGCAAAATGTGCCCATCTCCACCCAGCGGAATCTCACTTGCAATAAGGACAGAACCGTTGACACATGCAACAACATGGCTGAGCTTTAAAACCATTACACTACGTGAACCAGTCACAAAAGACCACAGATTGGGATTCCCTAGATGTGAATCAGTAAATCCATACAGGCAGAAAGCAGATTAGTGGTTGCCTCAGGCTGGGGGTGGGGACAGGGAGTGACTGCCAGTGGACAGGAGGTTTCTTTGGGGAGTGATGGCAATGTTCTAAAATTAAACTGTGGTGATGGTTACACAACCCTATAATCTTACTAAAAATTATTTAATTGTACACTTAAAACAAGTTAACTTTATGGTATATAAATTACATCTCAACGAGGCTGTTAAAAAAAAAAAAGTCTAGAAACTCAAGCCGGTTCAGTCTGGGAGTCCCCTAATCAGATCCAATTGTCAACACCACTGACATCCTCCCAGGAGGTAAAGAGAAAAACAAATCCTGCAGAGACATGAATCTCCTTCCGAGCAGACAACACCCGAAGGCAGCTCTGGGAGCTGAGAAGGCCCAAGACCATGCAGCAAATGCTGTCAGCTGACCTGGAGAGGCTGTCTTCCACGGCACCTGTCCTCAGTGACCAACACTGTGGTCTCACCTTCTCTGGCCAGAGCCAGAAAGCTCTAACCTGCGCCTCACCCGCAGCCCCAGCGAGAAGAGGACGAGAGCTCCCAGGGAGCGGCCTGCTCGCCCTGGCTGCGCCCAGGCTGCGCCCAGCAGGCCCCACACAGGGCCCTCGGCTGGGGGTTTGCGCCTATTGGTCACAAGGGGAGGAAGTGTGTTTCTTCTCCTGCATTTCCAGATGCTCAGAAGCTTCTGGATTGTGCTTTCTATTGGGGAAAAATTTAGACTCATATCTTCAGGTCACAAATGCCATCACTGCCAGGTAAGGATAAAACAAAAGCTTCTCCGAAACCACCCAACACTGTGGTAGAGTTCTTCCCTCTCCCAGACTCCAGGGAGCTGCCGCAGTCACGCGGTGTCTGCTCTCGAGCCGGCTTACTGCTCAGTGGAAAAAGACGCCACCTCATCAGCCGTCCAGGATGCAACAGAGCTTGACTGTAAGTAGAAACCCTTTTCAAGTTATGAACTAGTCTTTGCAAGGAAAGAAAGAAAGAAAAAGTTTAACTCTACAGCTACTTCACCAGCAAGCTCAAGGCAATACCAGGCAGAGGAAACACCCGGGAAAGAGATGGCAGAGAGCCACGCCTGCAAACCACCTCCAGAGAAGTCCCAGCAATGCTCCTGGTGCACTGGCTATGTTCTGGCTTCCCCAGCAGGCTGCCCCAAAGGGCCCTTCCTCAGGAGCAGCTGGGAGTGCTGAAGATAAGGGTGCTGGGCTGCTCGGCAGACCAAAGTCGAGGTTCTTCACTTGCACAGCTACAGACCATGCTTCTGTCTAACCAAGACAAGGGAAAAGGCCATGAGCACTTTCTGCTGCTTAGTTTGCTGCTTAGTTGAGTCCATACTTGGTCCCCTGAGATGAACTAATTCAAAGAAACATTTTCTTTAAAAAAAAAAAACAAAAAAAACTTTCAAAACATGAGAAATGTATTCCAGACTATCTGGTTATCTTTGAATGGTTTGAATTAATAAGAATATCAGGTGGTAGTAAAAAATAACACATTTCGCCCAATTCTTCCAGACTGACACCTAGTTAAAGGATTAACAGCCAACTAAAGCCGGCACTGAGCACGCGAGAGCTGCACAGGCAGGAGCAGCTCCTCACCCACCACGGATCCCTCGCCAGCCGCGTGGCTCTCCTCCAGGAGACCGGGAGAGACCTGGGAGTCTCCGTGGCTCACTCACTCCACAGCTTTCACATCTTCCTATTCTTACACTGGATGCACAATAAACATGCAAAATGGGCAGAAGGAAGAAGGGACAGAGGAACCTCTGGGCATACCCGCTTGAACACAAGCTCTGGAGGGGGAATATACTTGACAACTGAAATATGCCATTTAAAACAGGAGGCACATGTTTAAGGAATTGTTAAAGAATTCACAATGTCCAATATGCAACCCACTAAATTTAAAAACACATATGCATTCAAGTCGAGGTAAATGGGACCAAAAAATAAAAAATAAAGAGAAATAAAAACACATACACAAAAATAACCACGCTCCATCGTAATTCCTCCTTAAAAATCTCTATCGCCCTTTTGGAACTGTGTGTTTTTACAGCCAGGCAGCCATGAACGTCCCTTCCACTCCCAGGGCCCCCAGAGAGGCAACAGCTCCAAGGGTCTCACCAGCTTTCCTCTAGCACCTGGGCCGACTCCCAGCCTGCAGCCCAGGAGATGGGTGCTCCACTGTCCTTCCCTGGGGGACTACGTGGTTACCAAAGTCCTCACAAGGGTCACCAGAACCAGTTCCTCAGAAACCTAACTGTGGTTAATGTCTGAACACTCACAACGATGACAGCAAAGTCTGTAGCCTCAGTCAGTTTCCAGGCACAAAGTACCTGCTACTTTCGGACACTCACATGCAATAAGCACAGATGCAAAATGCAATCTGCTGCCTCCTCGGCAGCCCCACTGATCCGGCTGGTCCTCCTGACACGAAGCCCTGTGAATTCAACTCACTGGATCAAGAGTCTACGTCTCCAAAACACATGCACTCGGAGGCCAGGCTGCTTCCAAAGCAGTCCCTCCCAATAAATCCAATGAATATACACAACAAGCAAGTGTGTATGATCAGAATAAAGCAAACACAGCTGTGTGCCCTAAACTCTCAGTGCCTGTGGGTTTCAGAGGCCTCATACAAAACGCCTCCCCATACCGACAGTAACCAACACTTACCACGAGCCAAGCACCGTGCTAAGGCTTTACTTCAGTTTATCCTTCCACAGCCCTGCACTGCTTGTAGTACAATTACCATCTTACAAGGGATTTTTAAAAAGAGGTGAAGTGGCCATCCAAAGGCACACAGCTAAGAAGCACACGGCTGGATGGCAAGATGCCAGGTGAGCCCTCCCATGCGTGGCTGGTCCCCTGCACCCCACACACTGTCCTAGCTCCAGGACTATCGCTGTCAAACTCAGCACTACTTTATAGTCTTTTCATTTGTCCCCCACGCTGGGTGTCTTCCCTAGCCTCCCCCTTTCGCCACGCTCTATGCAATCTGAAGGCAAGCATGGCTCTGATCCACCTCCTTGGTTATCCTCACAGCACCAACCACGGACCTGCCCTACAACCCCCAAGGACCTGAGATACAGAAATAAAATCTCCACCAAGCCTTTGACCTCCCTTGCTGGACTTCATTGTCTAGACAAGCCCTTCTACCACCCCAAAACCAACAGCGACAGCTCCCCACTCTCGCCCCAGGCCCCTGGAAAGAGTGACCTGACTCCTGAGAGGTGCTCTAGGTATAGCTACAATCTGAGATAAGCACAGATGCATAAGGATCACGCTGTCGGGAGAAAAGTGCCTGCCCTCGTTTCTCAAAAGGAAAAAAGTAAAAAAAAAATTAAATCACTTTAGCCGGTATAACTTTTTGCAGGCAACGTGACGATGTTTTACCTGTTCCACCTTGTTTCTCTAATTCCCGGCAAGCTAAACACAAAAGCAAACGGGAGGGGAAGCCCGGCCGCTGCTCCCCAAGCGCGAGCAGCGTCCCAGCTTCCTTCCTACTCCACCCTCTGCCCGGCCGCGCGCGGCAGACGCCCAGCGCGGCGAGCCCTCGCCTCGCGGGACCCTGCCCCGCCGCGCCCGACCGTCGGCCCCGCTCTCCGCCGTCGCCGCCACCCGGCTGGTGTCTCAGAGAAGTTGGGGTCCTTTACTTTTGACTGTTTTTTTAAGAGGCCGTTTTCCGCCGGCGTTCCAGTCATTATTCCAGAAACAAGTTCCCCGCAGCCACCGGAGCAGGCAGCGCAGCCCCCACCACCCGGACCCGACGCCCGGGCGGCGCGGGGTCGCGGGGCCTGACCCCGGACAGGGACGGAGCCGGACTGTCCCCGAGACGCGCCGCCTCGGGCCGGCCCGCCGCCAGCCAGAGCGGGCCCCGGGCCGCAGCCCGCGCCCGACGCCCTTGACCCGCGGCTGCCCCGCGCCCCGCCCGCCGACTCACCCCATAAGCCAGTCCATGGCTGCGCGGGGCCGCCGCGCCCGCCGCCCGCCTCGCTCGGCCTCAGCCCGGCGGCCGGAAGTAAACACTCGCTCGCTCACTCCCACACGCGCGCCGCCCGCGCCGCCGGAAGTGACGCGCCGCGCGCGGCCTGCTGGGACGCGTAGTCCCGGCGGCCCCTGCGGCCCCGCCCGCCTCGCGCGCTGCCCTGCGGATGCTGCTTTGGGGACTGTCCCCGCGCGCCCGGATTGTCCCCCTTCGCACCCCGAGTCTCTCCTCCCGCGCCCCGGACTCTCTCCCCCGCCGCACCCGACTCTCTCCTCCCTCCCACCCCGACTCCCTCCCCCCACTCCGGACCGTCCCCCCAACACTCCGGACTCTCTGCGTCACCCCACCCCACCCCCGGCGCTCCGGGCTGTCCTCGCCGCACCCCGAGTCTCTCCTCCCGCACCCCGGACTCTCCCTGCACTGCACCCGACTCTCTTTCCCCGCACCCCAGCTCTCCCACCCTGACTCCCTTCCCCCACTCCGGACCGTCCCCCACCTCACCCCCGGCGCTCCCGGACTGTACCCCTGCACCCCGAGTCTCTCCTCCAGCACCCCGGACTCTCCCTGCACCGCACCCGACTCTCTTTCTCCGCACCCCAGCTCTCCCACCCTGACTCCCTTCCCCCACTCCGGACCATCTGCCCCCCCACCTCACCCCCGGCGCTCCGGACTGTACCCCTGCACCCCGAGTCTCTCCTCCAGCACCCCAGCTCTCCCCGCACCGCACCCGACTCCTCCCCGCACCCCAGCTCTCCCACCCTGACTCCCTTCCCTCGCTCCGGACCATCACCCCAACACTCCCAACTCTCTGCTCCCCCACCCCGTCCCTGGCGCCCCTGGCTGTCCTCTCCGCACCCAGGCCTCTCCCCACAATCCCTGGACTGTCCCCTTTCTCCACAGGCTGTCCGCCTCACTCTGGCTGTACCTCCATCCTGGACTCTCCTCTTGAGCACCTGGGCCTCCTTATGTGCCCCCCCCAGCATCTGTCCTTCTCTGTCCCATGGCCTGGCCGGCAGCAGGTGCTCAGTGACAGCTTGTCAAAGGGCTAGATTCCCCGTTCTCCCTGGGAAGATGCTTGGAGGAGCAGGAACCAGGGCAGAGGAAGCCTCACCCACAGGGACATCCTGCGGTGGGGACACAGTCACTGGGCATCAGACAGGTGACAGCTTCAGGCCAGCTGACCTCAGCCACTCCAGGGTCAGCCGGGTCTGCTCTCCCATCCACAGCCAGGGGGAATCAGCCCTTCCCAACTCTCAGAGGAAGCCTCTCCAATACTCCTGTCACCCCAGGTCCCCTCCTGCCACCTGGCCTCTCCAGCTCAGGAAGGCTCAGGTAGGACTTTCAGTTGCCATCAACAGAAAAGTTTGAGGTGAAAACAAATTAATCAATAGATACTGGGTAGCTCCAGAGCATTGCCAGGAAAAACGGAGGACCGGTGAGACCTTGCATCTGGGAATGCCCCCAATCACAGTGGCCTCCTCCTGAACCCCTGAGCCCCTCTCTCCTGCCTTCCCCCGCAGTCGAGACCAGCGGCTTCAGGAGGCTGTGTCGTGGTTATGGTCAACAAGGTAAAAACCAGTCGGCTCCTACGAAAGGAGTTGCTTCCTCCTGGGGTGAGTCCAGGAGGCCCAGGAGCCGTCTTCTGACACCTTCGTGGGAGGCACTGACTGAAAACAGACCAAGAAGACAAAAGAGCTTAGGACAGGGGTGTCTTCAAAGAGCTGCTACTCAACCCAGGGCTGCTTTCTCCAGAGTTCTCGATGTGTGAGTCGTGTGGACCCCGGTTGGGACTTCTCCTGGTCGAAACTGAGCTTCTTCCCACCCGACGGGTGAGCTGCAGAGCTGGGGTGGTGAAGGGACGGTGCTGCCACCACAGGCACTGGAAGCCCCTGCCCCCTAAACGCTCCCTGGGGAAAGGGCTGCTGACTGGGGAAGCCAAGGGCATTTGCCTGCACCCGGCTGGCAGCTTCTAGGATGGGAGGCAGACCGGCCTCCTGAGGAGGGTTCCCAGGAAGTTCAGCTACTCGGGAGGTGGAGAACACAACCGCCCACAGTCCTCCCGGCCCTGCTGTTTACACTAACACGGCTCCCCTCCCCCACGCTACTCTGCCACGAGGATGCAGCTGACCCTTAACACAGTTGACCTAGTCCATTCTCATGAGCAACTGCCAGGAGGACGCTGGGAGATTCCCGCTCCTCCTTAATCACCTGCATGGTCATGAGGCTCATGAGGTCATCATGTAACCCCCTGAGATAAGACAGTGAGGACAGACGGTGGACAGAAGAGGAGAGCTCATTTAATATGTGACATCTCGGGAAGGCAGAAAACGCAGACACAAGTGAGGGTCTTCACTTACACAGCCGTGTGTGGCCGTGGTTGATGACTTTCCTTCTCCCAGCCGCTTGGTCACTGCTTCTAGCCGCCCACCAACTGACAGATTGACCCAGCCCGTCGTGCATGAAGAGGATGAACCCTTGGTGACCCTGCTTTCTTTGGGCCACCCGAATCTTCCATCATCTGCTCCCCTGGATGTGGGCGTCCCAGGAGCAGTGCAGGGAACCCCCACCAGGTCCCCCATGTTCCTGGCACTGCCGGCGGGAGCCCCGTGTGCCAGCAGTCCCTCCAGTGACTAGCTCGTCCACTTGGAGAAGTTGATCCACATCTCCACGCCTCCATTTCCTTTTCCGTGTAACAGGAATAATAACATTACCAAACCTGTCCTAGGAATCTCTCGTGCAGTCCCTGGTGCAGGCTGGAGGGAGGGGAGCAGCCAAGTGTGACCAGGCACGTTGGGAGCGCAGTCACCTGCTCAGCCACCTTGCCCGTGCTCACGCCTCCCCGCTCTTCCCGTGAGGATGGTGCAATGCTGGGCACTCCCCGTCTGACGGTTTTATTTTGCTCAGACCAGAAGGGGCAGTTGGGATCACACGTCATGTGACATCCCATGGTCTGATGTGTAGTCTGAGCTGGAGCGCAGTGGCAAGCTAAAACTTGCATCTCGAAGCACCACAGTTTATTTCTTAACAGGAGGTGGCTGTGCTCCGACACCCTGGGGCCCTCCAATCTCACCCGCCCGGGAGAGCTTGCCACAAATCCTTACAGCTTCACAGCGAGCACCCCTGCATCTGTTGGGTCGTAGTGACGAGCCATAGAACTGCTTGAACCTCAGCCTTGGCTACACCTTTCTCTCAGTCTGGGGCACATTCAGAGAGCGCCTACTCGGGTCTCTTGCTAACTACTGTGTTTCCCCAAAAATAAGACAGGGTCTTATATTTATTTTTCCTAAAGACGACACCCTAGAGCTTATTTTCAGGGGATGTGTTGTTTTTTTTTTTTTAAGTACGGTACAACAATCTACATTGATTTAAATAGAGTTAAGTCGTCTTCTTCTGGAACATCATCATCACTCTCCAAACCCCAAATTCCATCCTGAATTTCTTGCGACTCTATTTCCTTTAGAACCATTGGCCCCAATGTCGAAAGTCGAGCACTAGAGCTCCCATGGGGCAGGTGAGAAGGACTGCTTGTCTTCTTTACCGCTCCGCGACGAAATGCATGGGTTGTGCAGATACGCTGTGTAGCCTGTCACTAGGTCTTATTTTGGGGGTAGGGCTTGTATTGCGCAAATGCTTAGAAATCCTGCTAGGGTTTATTTTATGGGTAGGTCTTATTTTCGGGGAAACATGGTAGTTACGAATAGCACTGGCAGAGAGTGCTGGTCAGAAAGGATGAGTCACCTGCCCATGTCTATATCCACATCCTTCTTCTCCTGCTTCTGTTTTCCCCATCCTCCTCCTCCTCTTCCTTGGTAATGGAATGTCGAGCCAAATGACCACATGAAAAACTCTTACCCAGCTTCCCATGCAGGCAGGGCAGCCAACAAGACGTAAGTGGAAGTTGTAGGGTGGCTTCCAGGAAATCTCCCTTGTCCTTCCTCCCAACCCTCATCCAATCTCTTGCCTCCTGACCAGGATGGGAAAGTGATGGCTGGAGCCCTTGCAGCCGTCTGGGAGTGTGAGGCAGGTAGTGATGGCACAGCAGAAAGACAGAAAGAACTCGGGTTCCTGCTGAAACTCTGGAACCTCCACAGCAGGGCTGAACTTCTTACCTCTGTACTATTTTAGTTGAAAAAACTCTGGATTACATTACTCTTCTTTCCAGTGTCTCTACTCGAAGCACTTGTGGCACCTAATTGATACATGCGTCAAAATGTGTGTCTGTCTTTTTCCTGGTGGTAAGGTGCTCAAGGTGTAACAACTCATCCTTTGCTTTGAAGGGAACATCTTGATAGTCCCAGGCCACCGGATCCCCACAGCGTCACCTAGGTGGTAAGTTCCTAATTTTCCCTGGGATATATCCCTTTGGCAAGCACATGTATTATTTAGCTTCTAGAGTATCTAGGTCCTGGCTCCAGGGCCCATCAACATGACATCATCCGTGCGATTGAACCGTGTGATACCCTGAGACACGCCAAGACAAGTCCGTGTGGACTAAACTGTGGCAGAGCACTCCAGCCGACACGGCCCTGGGGCAAGGTGCTGCTCTCTGCAGATGGAGGCAGACTGCTCTGGTGCTCTCTGCTCACTGGGGCTGGGGAGGGGAGTTACCTGGTCGACAGCTGAACAACAACGGCTGATTTGCCCCAGGGAGGACGCCCACCACATCTGGAAGAACAGCTGCAGTTGGAATCACGTCTTTCAATCTGAGATAACCGGCCGGCCGTCAATCACCAGCCCTCCCCTGGCTCCTGCACAGAAGAGACACGGGAGAGAAATCGGAATCACAGAGGGGCCTCCTTCCCGCATCTACCGGGTCTGGGAGGGTGACGCCCATCTCTGGGCACCCCTGGGGTGACGCTTTGCCTTGGCTCACCACTTTAGCAGGGAGGCGGGACCAGGGCATTTCCACTTAGCCCTCTCTTCTCCCCGTCCATGCGTTCGTGTGGCAATAAGTACCAAGTGCCAGCTGTATACGAGGCGCTGGCAGGGTACTTGGAAAGCGGCAGTAGACAAAACAGACAACAACTGCCCTTGCAAGGGACGGCAGCCGTGGACAGCCAACAAAGAACTAATGGGACATGTGGCACACAGGAGAGTGGCGAGTGCTCGGGAGGGAAATAAAGTCAGCGAGGCAGGAACAGGGGTGCCGGGTGCTGTGGGCTGAACCGCACCCCAAACAGGTGTTAATCATATATTAATATTTATTAATATTAATAAATTACATATATCAATATATGTGTACATATTGTGTGTGAACATATTATATATGTACATGTGTGTACATGTTGTACATATACAATATGTACATAGTGTACATAATATGTACATATATGTGTACATATATATGTTCATACGTAATATACATATATGTGTACATATTATGTAATATGTAATATACATATGTATGTACATATTATGTATGAATATATATGTACGTATATGTATGAACATATATTAATCGTTTTTTGGAGGGGGCGAGGGAGGCACAATTCAGCCCATAACGCCTGGGCTCCTTCCTCCTGCCCAAGCCTGGGCCATGAGCACGTCCTGCCCACCCCACCACCTACACCTGACGCTCCGCTTCCCCTCGTGACCAAAGTCAGGCCTCACTCTGCCCACTTGCTGCTGCGCTTGGCTCCTTCAGCCACGCTAACCCCCAGCACCTCGGAACGTGACCATATTTGGGACACAGTGTCACAGATGTCCTTTGTTGAGGTGAAGTCATGGAGTAGGTGGGCCCTGGTGCAGTATGGCTGGTGACCTATTAAAGGGCAAGATTCGGGCCGGGCGCGGTGGCTCACGCCTGTGATCCTACCACTCTGGGAGGCCCAGGCGGGAGGATCGCTCAAGGTCAGGAGTTCAAGACCAGCCTGACCAAGACCGAGACCCCCGTCTCTACTATAAAATAGAAAGAAATTAATTGGCCAACTAAAAATATATAGAAAAAAATGAGCCGGGCATGGTGGTGCATGCCTGTAGTCCCAGCTACTCGGGAGGCTGAGGCAGGAGGATCGCTTGAGCCCAGGAGTTTGAGGTTGCTGTGAGCGAGGCTGACGCCACGGCACTCTAGCCCTGGTGACAGAGTGAGACTCTGCTTCAAAATAAATAAATAAATAAATAAAAATAAAGGGGGAGATTCGGACACACGTGTGTAGAGGGAGGACAGCCACCTGCCGTAGGAGACAAGGAGAGAGGCCCGGAAAGAGGGCCCCTCCCCCACAGCCCTCGGAAGGAACCAGCCCTGGTGACGCCGAAGATTTCAGACTTCTGGCCACCAGGACCGGGAGATGAAACACCCCTGCTGTTTGGAACTGCTCAGTCTCCTTGTGATGACGCCTTCCTCTCCCCAGCTCGAGGGGCTCTGCCGTGCGGGCGGGAACATGAGGGCCTTGGTTTTCCCAGCTAGGCTTCCCCCCAGACTGGGGACCCCCTGAAGGCAGGGCCTGTGCGGAGATGCCCCCACCCCAGGCAGTTGCCCTCCCTCGTGGGACAAGCACAGCGGGACGGCCAGGTTTCGGGGGGAGCTGGGCGCAGGCCCTGCCCGCAGGTGCCTCCCACTCACCGACCCCATCTGTCCTCCCCTCGGGCCCACCGCTGCCCTCCCCCGACGGCCAGCGAGGACACGGCCCGTCGTTGCTCAGCACCCCCTCTTGTCCTGGGCCGGCCCCCCCAGAGGCCTTGGCACGGGGTGGGCCTCGTGACACCCGCCCGCCCCCACTGGGAGGCTGGAGAACAATGGCTCCCTCTCACCTCGAGAGCTGGTCCTTGTGCTCGGGACGGTCCCAAGTGAGGCTGAGGGGGAGCAGCTGCCAGCGCCTGCCAGGGCACCCCCTGAACCCCAATGCCCCCCGAGGCTACCTCTGTTGCTTCATCTCCTAGTAGCCTGAACCTCTGATCTGGGCAAGGCACGGCGGGAAGCCAGTCTCCAGGGAGCTGTGGTGGGCGGCGGCCGCCTCGTCCTCAGCCTCTCCTCCCAGGACGGCCGCTCTTCCAAGCCTTCACCAGCACCCCTCGCCCGCCTGCAGACCCAGACCGCACGGTGCCCCCATCCCACACCTGCTCCTTCACTCGCCCCCAGCCCACGATCGTGTGACAAGGAGACCCAGGCTGCCACAGTGCCAGGGTCTCACCCAGGGTCACTCGGCGAGCTGATGGGGACCGGAGAACCACCTGCCGCCAGGCCCAGCATCTTCTCATCATGGCCTGCCTCCCAGAGGGGACTGTCTTCTCCAGACAGTCGAGCTGGGGGCACCCTGGGGGCAGGCTGGTGACAGGTCCTTCCTGTCCGGCAGCAGAAGGGCTGAGTTCTCTCTAGAGATGTCCAGGCTTCAATGTCGACCCCCTTTGAGGAGCGTTGGCTTAACGGGGTTGGGGGGGCTGGTGGAGGCACATGTGGGCCACATTCAGGTGGGTGCCCTCAGCACCCCATCTTACGGGGCACTCTGTAGCCTGCCCAGGGTGCCCTGCTGGGCCGTGTCTGGCGGGCTCCTACTTCCCACTGCTGGGCTGTCAGCTGCCCCGTCCACGGGAGCCTTCCCAGCCCCTTCCTCCCCCAGAACCTGCAGGTGACAGGTGACCGCACAGCCTTGTCAGAGCTCCCTCCAGCCAGGGTCCACTGAGAGCCGGCACAGTGGCGGCCAGAGCCCCTGCTCCTGGAAACCACCTGTTCACTTAAGTGGGGGCTGCTGTCTGGTGGGGGTGGGGGAGGCACTGGCACCTATGATGCTTGCTTGCCTCTCTGGCCGGGAGGCTCACTGCGTGCTCCAGTGCAGATGCTCTGCCTGCCCCACCCACCCCTGGGTCATGGCTCTCAGTTCAGACTTAGGTTTGTGGACCGAACCTGTAAAAGAAATCAAATTGAGGCCAGGCACGGTGGCTCACGCCTGCAATCCTACCATTCTGGGAGGCCAAGGCGGGCGGATTGCTCGAGGTCAGGAGTTTGAAACCAGGCTGAGCAAGAGCGAGACCCCGTCTCTACTAAAAATAGAAAGAAATTAATTAACCAACTAAAAACATATATACAAAAAATTAGCCGGGCATGGTGGTGCGTGCCTGTAGTTTGAGGTTGCCATGAGCTAGGCTGACGCCACGGCACTCACTCTAGCCTGAGCAACAGAGTGAGACTCTGTCTCAAAAAAAAAAAAAAAAGAAAGAAAGAAACAAAAAGATCGAATTGAGATCTTGCTACCTAGGCCAGGTGTGGGTGGGCCTCAGGGAGGGTCACTCGGTGCTGCTTCCCGGCTCCCGCGTTCCTCTGCGTTTCTCCACTTGGACATCCATCGCTCTGTCCCCACCTCTGTGTTCTCTTGGCCTTCTCCCCCGGCACATCCCCGTGCCCAGACTTCCTTCCTCTTGCGAGGACACGGCTAACTGACAGAGCAGAGCCCACCTCGATGCAGTGCGACCTCATCGTGGCCCAGCGACACCTGCAAAGACCCCATTTCCCAGTGAGGTCATGTTCTTCACAGGCGGCCTGCTTGGGACTGGGCACGCGGTCCCACCCAGCAGAGGCAGGCCCTGGGTCCCACGCGCTGTGTTCACGGGGTTCAGGTGGGACTCCCGAAATCCCCAGAGAGTCTCCTCTCTGGGTTTGGTCCTTGTTGCCGAGCGACGGCGTTGACTGAACACGGTGTCGACGTAAGGTAGGGCTCGCTGCCCTCCCGGCCATGCGCCGTCTGGCTGGTGTCCTCGTCACACTCGTCGCAAGAGGCCACTTGCAGAAGCTTTGCCAACCCAAGTCCTCTCTCGACCTGTCGGCCCTCCTGCAGAGAGGAGAGGAGGGAGCCTGCACGCCAGGATGGGCTGAGAGCCCGGGACACGACTCCAGCAAGGAAAGTTCCTCCTCCCCACTCCCATGTGACAGAGGATAAACTGAGGCCCAGGGGTAGGAGCTTGCCCAGGGGCCCAGTGAGAACTGGAGACCCAGGGCCAGGCTGGTCACAGGAGGCAGCACCAGGCCGCTCCAATCCCCATTCTCAGAGGATGCTCTGCCCTCTGGAGCCCCCCCATCCTCTGGGGGCCAGATCAGGGTGTGGGAGAGGCTGTCCTGGGGGCCACCTGCACCGTGGGAGGGAGGGCACGTTGCAGATGGGCAGAGGGCAGCCTGGGGGAGGTGGACAGGCAGGGTCCCGGCCTGTGTGGATGCTGCCACTGGCTTGTTCCGGCTGCAGCCGGCATTGCTCGGCTGGCCGAGCCTCCCCCTCAGTGACCTCAGCAGGGCCCCTCCAGCTGGGTGGGGTCTGAAGAGGTGAGAGGAGGGTGAGCAGGGTGGTGGAAGGTGGTGGGGACTCTGAGGCCTCATTCCCTGTCACTAGCCCTCCACAGGCCCTGGTCAGGACACCCCCCCAACCGGCCTCTGCCTTGCCCCGTGGCCTCCCAGCTGAATGTCATGGCTTTGGACTCCAGCCAGCCAGTGGAGCAGGACCTCAGGGCAGCCTGAGGTCAGGGGTCAGGCCACTGCATTCCCAAGGCTCCCTCCCCCCTGGGGGGCAGTGTAGGCTGAGGGTCCCTGAGCCACGCCCCTGGCAGGTGCCAGTGGATGGCACGGGCCCCAGAGGGTACTTGGAGACCCGGCCCTGCTCCTGGCTCCGTGGCTGGCCAGCATGGGCTCATTCCTTGTCCCCTCTATCTAGTGGGTGGGGACCACTGGATGCCCCCACCAATATGTGCAGCAGACTACCTGGAGAAAGGCCAGGATACAGGTTCCTGGACTCTGTGCCTCTTGGAGGCTGGCTTTGCAGGCCAGGAGGGCCTGCTGGAGGGCTGTGGGGTGGGGCTCCCCCAGCCCAGGCCCTGGTGGCTTTTCCTAATCAGACTCCTGTCCGCCTGCAGCTGCAGAGCCCAGTGCCAGGGCTGGTGGCCCAGCAGGGTGGTGAGAGTGGTCTGGGGCTTGCCAACCTCGGGGCCAGAGGGTGCTGCTCTTCCTCCACTGATACTGCACCTGCCAGAGGTCGGAGGTCTGCAGAATTCTGAGGGAATTCTGAGGGAATCTCCGTTGTTGAAGCCAGCCAGTGTCTGGGGCCTTTCTGCAGCAGCCCCGGAAGACTCGCTTGCACAGAACTGCAAGACGGGGCTCTCGGTGGCCAGTGGGAGTGGAGCCAGGTGAGCGTCTGGGGACTGGAGGGGAGGGGTGGGGTGACGGCGGTCTGCGGGTAGGAGG